TGTGTCTAGGGTGTCTCTGAGTGTGTGTGTGTGTGTGTGTTTCTCTCTGTGTCTGTGTGTCTAGCTGTGTCTCTGAGTGTGTGTGTGTTTCTCTCTGTGTCTGTGCGTCTAGGTGTGTCTCTGAGTGTGTGTCTGTGTGTGTTTCTCTCTGTGTCTGTGTGTCTAGGTGTGTCTCTGAGTGTGTGTCTGTGTGTGTCTGCCCCTACGTGTCTCTGTGTCTGACTCTGTGTCTATCTCTGTGTCTGTCTGTCTCTGTCTTTCTCTGTGTGTGTGTGTCTGTCTGTCTGTGTACCTACCTGTCTTGATGTGTCTCTGGGTCCCTGTGCCCCTCATCTCACATGGCCAGTGCTGGAGGACAGCCCAGGTGATACTTCCATAGACTTAATCATGTCCAGACCACTGTCAAACCTGGTATAATGCAAATGTGTGGTACACTCCATTGTTTAGGGGAAATGATTTTTTAAAATCTATATATTCAGTAAAGGGTCGATTGCTTGCACATATTTTTGATTTATGCTTGGTTGGATTCTCAGATGCAGGACACACAGATGTGGGGTGGGGGGCTTATATGCCCACATAGAAAGAAGAGACCAAAAATTTATTTTAGATGATATTTTAAGTCTGAATAGACCAATTTCCACATTTAAAATTGAGAAAATTATCCAGTAGCTACTTTCTTTTAAATCATCGTTGCCATGAAAACTTTTAATTGAATCCTTTTAGAACTTCTAATAATAAGTATTGCAGAAGTGACTTATGTTTTTTTGGAGATCATGCTCTTTCAGGCTTGGAACCAAACATATTCAAAATATGATACACACACACAAAGTTCAAGAGGCATGTGGTTTGGGTGTATGGAGGCAAAAATTCTGCGTCTGACATTAACAAGGAGGAGGAGGTGAGAAAAAGGAAAAGCGCTCTGATCAAGTGGGTTCTTTCAGGAACCAAGGGATTCAACATCTGGAATCAGATCATACCCCTCGGTGCTGAGATGCTGATCTCAATGATGCAAAGTACACTCTAGATAAAACCTAGAAACAGAGTATTAAACTACCCAAAACTCCCCCTCCAAAAATGAAGATCCCCAGGCAGGGCCCAGGAAGCAGCTCCCAGGGAAAGATGCGCAGGCAGAGCACAGAGGGTCAGGGTGTGGGCAAAGCCCGAGGCCACAGAGTGACTTCTGGCCAAGCCTGCTCTCCCGACCCTCCATTCTCTTCTCAGGGAGGCCCTGGGGGCCCTGCTCTTGAAGCATTGAACCGATCTGGGAGCACATGAGTATTACACGTCATAGAGGTTTCCACTCTTTAACAACCACAAGTGCCCAGGATCTATTGAAGCATCTCCCATATGGGCCTGGGTAAATAGCTTGTGGAATAGCACTGAGCTATTAAAAGAGAATAGATTAAAGTTACATCTCCAAAATGTCTCGCTAAGTGAGAAAAGCCATGCAAAACAGGGTGGACATCATGCTGCTATTAATGTTTTTAAAAGGGTGATTTATAAGTGATCACACACGCAAAAATGCAGAAAAATTCCTGTGGCAAGATTTCCAGGAAGTTTGCTGAGATTTGTTAATAGGCTCTGCCTCTGGGAAGGAGAGGGCATCTCTGCAGGGTTTCTTAGAATAAATAATGTTTTGAAGTGTTTGATATGTTAACTATGCTAAAGTGTTTCTTTCCAATAAAAATTAAACGGAGATGCGCGTGTGCAAACCTCACAGGCACACAGGTGCTGTCGGGGTGTGTGCTAGTGTTTGGGAGCACCAACTGTCACCCGAGGCTCTGGGTCCCAGTTTTACCATTGGAGTAAGTAGCCACCACCTCCACGTTTGAGTTTTCTTGTCTCAAGAATGAGAGACCTAGCCCTAGTGGCTTAGGGAGCGGAGGCAGGAGGATTGCAAGTTCAAAGTCAGTCTCAGCAACTTAGCAAGACCCTGTCTCTAAATAAAAAATCAAAAGAGCTGGGGGGCGGCTCAGTGGTTAAGGCCCAGCAACCCCAGTACCCAAAGTCAACAAAAGCATCGACAGGGACCTGCAGGTGGCTGTGAGGGCCTGGCCAGAGTCCCCAAGTGCTGGGGCAGCATCTGGTTTGGGTGGCTGTTCTGACGTGGCTTTTGTCCTCTTTATGGATACGCCCCCTGTTCTGGTGTGTGACTCAGGAGTCCCTCTCTCCTCAGCTCTGCAACAGAGTCCCTGCACCTCACGTCCCTTCCTGCCTCTGTTGTTTGGCAGACTCCAGCTTCTGGGGTGGATGTGTCCACACCACAGGCCACGCTCCACCAAACCAAGACAGCAGGGGGCCTGCCCACCTGGTCATGCACCTGGCCCCGATGCCATCAACGTACTCCCCTTGCAGAGCCGCCAGGGTGCCCTGGGAGCCGTGGTCCAGTTTAGCAACTCACAAAATCCTTTATAAATGTTTTCCTGTTTTTTAGGGTGCTGGGGATGGAACCCAGGCCTTTTGCGAGTGCTAGGCGTGTGCTCTACCGCTGAGCCACGCCCAGCCCAGGGAAAGTCTTTTATTTATAGAAGAGAAAGGAAGGAAGAGATTCAGTAAACAAACAAACCAAAATAAAGACAAGCTTGCGAACAGATTATCCTGCCACATCCAAGACAGAAATACAGCAGAGAGACAGAAGGACTTGGGTGGCTCTGGGCAGCAGTGTGTCGACGCTCCCGGGAGGCGGGAGAGAGGCTCAGAACATTTGCAAACACCCGTGCACACTTGGCTCGCGATGAAGACTTCCTTACCAACAAGAGAGGGATGGGTGGGCCAGTCCTCCGACGGTGCGGGAACAACTGGCCAGCCATATGGGAACATGAAATTGAGCCCTTTCCCAAACCACACAAAAACGAATTCCAGATGGCATAAGGATCTAAATGCTAAAGCAAAACTTTAAAATCTTAGAAGAAAATGTCCTTTTAAATTCTTATTTATGTTCTTATTTCTTTAATAAGACACAGAAGCATAAAACTAAAGGAAACGAATGATATATTCCGTTGCACCAAGATTCAATCCTTTATCCAGCCAAACCACCATCAGGGATAAAGCAACACATATTTTATCCATTGAAATAGGTTTTTTTTTAATCTAGAATATGTAAACAATTCTTGCAAACCAATAAAAAATTGAAAAAAAATCTAGGCAAAGGATATAAATATTCAATTCAGAAGAGGAAACAAAAGCTCAATGGATGAGGGAAGAATTTAATCTCACTCCTCCTTAAATTAATGAGAGACATTGACACACACCAATGAGACTTAAAAAATTCAAATCCACGGTACCAACGTCAGTGTGGATGTGGGCAAGGCCAGATGCCACGGGTGCCGACAGGAGGGGGGCCAGCAGGCACAGCCCTTTCCCCCTCATGACAGGACACCACCAGGGTCTCCAGCCCTGGGTGTGCAGGACAGGCCACTCTCTCCTCGGGCTCACGCAGGAGCGACAGTCACACTGTGCCCAGGCGATGAGTGAAGGGACATCCACACCACATTATTAGCCCCAACAGGTGACCCTGACAGCAGAACAAGAAGACAACACCTCGGTATTTCGCAGGACTCCACCCTGAGCCAGTGTGGGGGCAGGAGCCAGCTCACGAGGGGACCCAGGGAAGGAGCAGTGTTCAGGTCCCCTTGTGGCACATCACCGCCTCCTACGGCCACATGGAGACACAGCCCCTGGTGCGCCAGCTTTGGGGTCCTCTGACGCACAGATCCGGGGCTCTGGGGGTCAGTCCCGCGTTTCAGGAATGGAGCAGCCAGGAGCCGCTGCGTCCCCCTTGATTTATACAAGCCGAAAAGCCGTGGCTCTAGGGACCACAGTCTGCTCTGCATCCTAAGAATGTCAAGTCACAGGCCCCAGTGGATCCCAGAGCTGGACCGCAACACAGCCAGAGCCCTGGAGCCAGGGGAAGCCCCTTGGGAAGCCCCCGCCCCGCTGCTAGAGGTTGGTACGCCCCCCCTTCCCAGCCTTATCCAAAGGGACCGGCGACTTACCAGGGTCACTGCACAGGGAAGAAGGCATCAGTCAGACCTTCCAGGGACGCTGGGCCCTGGCTCTGGGCAGACACTGACCCAGGACAGCCGAACACCACGGCGGCCCTCCAGCCAGGGGACCCCCAGGGAGCTTCAACTCAGGGCTGCCTCCCAGTGGGTCCAACTGACCTCTGAACCCCCCGCGCGGCTGTTGTTTCTCCAGGAATACACAGCACCCGGCGGAATCCCCACGCGGGGCTCCAGACTGGCGGGTAAGGGCTCCTGAGGGGGCCAAGGACGGGCAGAAGCCAGGAGAACTGGGGCCCAGGAAGCGGTGGAGCACAGACGATTCCTACAGTCCCCGTGAGAGCAGAGCCACCCAGGACCTGGGAGGCAGGGGCTCCCACCCATCCACTCCCTCCCAGGCTGTGAGGAGGTCCTGGAGGGCCACCGTGGCAACCAGCTCGCGGGTGGGACTCGAGTGGCAGCTGCTCTGCCAGATGTGGTCTCCTGCTTGGGCAAACGGACACACCCAGCCCCAGGTGTGCAGCCACTGACCCAGTGGACGCCGCCTCCTCCATCCCCGTCCCCAAGGCCACGGCCCGCAGCACACGGGCACTGTCCCAGCTCAGGGGCCTGTCACCCTGCAGCCAGGGGTCTCAGGGGTCTTGATCACCTGACCCTTGCCCCTGTGACATTTGCTGGAGAGGCTCTGTGAGTGAGAAGTGGACGCAGGGTCCTGGGAGCAGCACCTCTCTCCTCTGCCTTGCTGGCCAGCCCCCTTGGATGGAGGTTGAGAGGCTGACACATTGTAGAGGTGATCCTGTGGCACTGGGGTGGCCAGCTCTGTGGAGGACAAGGACCTCCACGGCCCAAGTCCCATTGGAATCTGGGGGCTCCATATGTCCTGGCAGAGCTAATGGGTCCCATCCTTTCTGAATCAATGCCTTCGCTTTGGAGTGGACGCCCTGCGGGGCCGGAGTCCACCTGCATGGCGCTTCAGCCTCTCACGGGATGAGATCTATGTTTGATTTTCAGCAGGTTCAGTGCGGGGGGCTGAAAAGCCTGGGTTCCCTTCATGCACCCCTAGGAGATCTGGGGGAACTCACACGCTGCTTATGGCAAGAATTCAAATCCCCAAGTATATTAGTTTTCTTCTTTTCTTACCACTTTGTCCAAAAATAGAAGCAACAAGCAGCATCAGTGTATGTCTTAGTTTTCTTTTAATATTGAAATGATCAGATACAAACCCACCCAGCTTTTGTTTCTTACAAGTGGACAGTCAGGAGTATGCAATGCAGATATCTTACCTGTCTCTACAAACAGTTTACGCCCCAGTCTCACGGAGCTCTCTTTATTACCAGATGCAGGGCCGTTAGTGTCTTTGAAACTAATCAGATTATAGAGGCTATTCCAGAAACCCCAGAATCGATTTATAAAACTCGGTCTTAAAATTTTGTTCCCATAGAACTACTTGGTACCAAAATCTATACTAGGCAGGACTCCCTGGAGACGCAGGATGCATCTGTAGACACGTAGAGAGAGGTTTGTTTTGGAGGATTGGCTTACGTGACCATGGGGACTGATCCCATGATCTGTGGTCTGCAAGCTGAAGGGCAGGCCGTGCTGGTCACAGAGCTTCGTCCAAGCCCAGAGGCCTGAGAACCACGGCCCACGGGTTAGACCCAGCCCAAGTCAGAAGCCCTGGGAACCCGGAGCTCCCAGGTCCGAGGGCAGGGTGGAGGTCTGGCTGCGGACGTCAGGCAGAGCCGAGTCAGGCTTCTGTCTAACCCAGACCCTGGACAGATTGGATGGTGGCCACCCACGCTGCGGAGGTCATCTCCTTAGCCCAGTCTACTAGGTCTAACGCTAACCTCTTCCAGAAATACCATCATGACACACCCAGATTTAATCTTCAATGTCCTGTGTGGGCATCTGTGGCCCCCTCAAGGTGACATATGGAATTTACCACTGTGGGGGGCACCACCAGCCCACTGCTGACCCTCACAGAGCACGCTGGTGGGAGGAGGTGGAGCTAACGGACTGCTTTAGCTTGATGTCCTTCTCCTGCCCTGGCCGTCCCTGGTCCCCGGGCCCACAGAGCAGGAGGGGACCCGCACGGTGGGCCTGTGTGTGGCTCAGCCCTTCCAGCTGCACCCGGCTCCTCCTCTGCGGCTTGCTGTGGCCGACTGTGGGCCGTCAGACGCCAACAGGGTGTGCGCTGATTTCTGACCCATCTCGCGCTTATGGACCAGCTCCTACTCTTTCTCTGGAGACCCCCAGCCCAGCTTGTATCTGTTTTTTTCTTTTATTTTTAAAGCTGAGTACCATGAGTCTATTATTAGGGACTGAGTTAAATACCCATTTGGGGGTGAGGTTTCGTGCTAATCTGGGTTCCAGGCTTCGAGTCCCTCCGGCGCCCTGCTGGCTGCCCTGGCTGCACCTCCTGTGTGGTGGGCATCTGGGGACCCACGGGACAAAGGAGCCGAACCTTCAGCCTCAGTCTCCTGTGGACTGGCCCTGGGCTGTGCCTGTCACAGTGCCTCGGACTCTCTGCCCCCTTAGGTGTGACAGGAAGTCTAGGGCATCCATGGTGGAGAGATGCCCATCCCCTGCCGAGTGGGTCTTTGCTGCGGAGAATGCTGGTCACTTGTCCCTCTTCCTACCCCAGAGGGGTTCCTGGAGGTAAACTTCACAGAAGCACGGTTGTCCCTAAGACTGCAGCCCTGGGAGATTCCTCACCTGGAGCTAATCCACTCTCAGTCCCCGACAGTCACAAAATGACTGTTCATCATCCCTGCAGTGTGTGGCTCCCGAGGACGCTGTCCAGAGAGGACACCAACAGAGAGGCTCCACAGTAGTCTGCCCTCCAGGTCTCAGGCCGCAGTGCCTCACTGGGGCAGATGCTCCTGACTTTCAGCTGGCCTCTCCTTGGGGGGGCGGTGGCGGCTGGCTGATGCGTCCCCTCAGGGCCAGCCCCAGGCCTGCCTGTGACACTGCTGCTTTGGTTCTAACTCTCCCTTCGCTGTGAGGATGGAGCCAGGACTTGGTCCCCTCTGGTCCTCCCAAGGCACTTGGTGCGGGGATCTCTGCATGGTGCCCCTCTCTTCCCCGCATCTCAGAGCTCCGCCCCAGCAGGCCCAACGAGGCTCCCGTCTGAGGGGCCTGCTGGGGCGGGTACAGGGAAGGTGCTCCTCCACGGGCCTCTGCAGCTCCAGCGTGGCCTGAACTTGAACCTCAGTTTCTTTGTCTTCTTCCCCACATGAATATTTATGGCACAGCAGCCCCCGTCCGTCCATCCGCAGAGCTCTTCAACGGTGCCTTTGTGGGTTTGACCTAGGAACAGCACCCTGGGAAGAAATGGAAGTCTGCGGTTTCCGGAATCACAGGGCTCTTAAGGACAATGCTAAATGGGCCTTTATTCCTGCATTTCTATGTGACCCAGCTCCTTGGGACAGCAAACTGATGACGTATTTGTTGCAGAATAAAAGACCAGTCGGTCTGCAGAAAGGCCCGGGGGCTCCATGTTACACTCCAGGAGCCCGACCCCTGTCCCAAGTTGGCCCCTGGTTCCTAGGATCCCGCCTGTGGAAAGCTGGGGTCCTCCTCCACTCACACGGTGGGTGGGTGCCAGCGCGCCCTGGCCCCAGCCTCGGGCACTTGGGGGAACAGGGAGCACAAGGCTCCCTGGGCTGGGCAGCCTGTGTCCCAGCCTCCATCTGTTCAGTGTCAGACCAGCCGTAAATCCAGCCAATTTGTGGAGAGACGCGTTTCAGCCAGTTGTTTGATGCCCTGTAAAGCAGCAGGTGATCAATAAACTTCTCCCCCACCAGCCTCGTGTCGTCACACACGCCAACCGCCTGGCTGTCAGGCCAGCTGCAGCGCCAGACGCGGAGCTCATGCTCCTGTCCGGGGCCCGCTCCTTGACGAGGGCCCGGGCTCTCCCGCCCCTTGGTCAGCCTGAGCCTGAGCGGCACCACGCCCACGCCCTCTCCAGGAGAGGCGTCCTGGTCCATGCCCTCTCCTCTCCCACTCCTGCTGGTCACCCCTCCCTGTGCAGCCTCTGGACAGGGGGCTTGCCCTGGAGACCTCTCTGTCTCCGTCTCGCTCACACAATCGTCTCTTGTAACCCTCCAGCTCAGAGCCTCTTCACCAGGAGGAACCCTCAACTGTCTCCCCAGGACCTGGCTTTGTCCCCGAATCTCCCAGAAGAGGAGCCTGAATCAAGCACAAGCCCCTGGCCCTGGTGCTGCACCCGTGTCCATGTGACCCCCGATTCAGTTGGCAGAAGCCTCTGCCAGGTTCCTGGTCATTGGTGTACAGGGACAGCACCAGACAGACCAGGCTCCCTGCCCTTCCTGGGAACACAGAGGGGACAGGATGTAGTGGGGCTGTCAGAACCACAGGGGACACTCTTATCCAGGAGAAGGACAGGCCCAGAGGGGACAGAGGACAGGGCTACCCAGGGAACAGAGGTCTGTCCATCTGGAAAGGGAGCCCAGTGGTCAGAAAGATGCCTGCTGAGAGGAGGTGCCAGAGGCCACAGAGCTGTGCTGTGTCCAGCGGGCAGCCTGTTTATCCCACTGATTGCCCAGGGCGACTCAGGCCCTGGGTGTGGAAACCAGTGCTCCTAACCCCAAGGCGGCCACTGTGTCATCCAGATCTGTGACCCTGGAGGCTCCCAGGCTCTGCCCAAATCCTAATGAGAAGGCCCAGGGGTCAGGACTAGGTCCAGCACCTGGGATGCTTCTCACCCCTGTGATCTCAGAAAGGCGGTCTAAGCCTACTGACACCCGCCACGTTGGAAAGTTGTGTTTCACAAGCCCCAGGGAGTGGGGGCCGCACAGGAAGCCCAGGTCCTGGGAACCGTCCCTGGTGGAGAGGCCTGAGTGCAGAGCTGTGGCTTTGGTACGACCTTAGGCCAGGCAGCTGTTTACCCCACTGGGACACGGTGGCCTTTGATAGGAAAAGTCAAGGTGGCTGCTGCCCCCAGGCCCAGGGAGGAAGCCCAGCTTCACCTTGGCCACATCTCCAGACGGTGCCGCTGCACTTCTGCGACTCCATGCTGAGGGGCCCGGCCCGACACCCTCTAGTGCCTGCGGCTGTGGAGGTGGGCCAGGTGAGGACCCCAGGCTCTGTGCCCATCTGAGTCTCTGTCCCTGACTTCTTAGGTGACTCCTGATTCTGCTTCAAGAGCTCCGTCCAGTGAGAGAGCCAGAGCCACTCGTGAGGCTCAACACGGGGCTGTCCTGTGCCTGTGGCCCACAGCAGAAATGGGTAAGGAAGGCACCGAGTGCCCACACCACAACAGCGGCTCGCTAGGCCAGCCTGCAGGCCAGAGGTGGGGTGGCCGCCACTTCACAGAGTAGAAGAGACAGGAAGAGGGCAGGAGGGCGGGCCTCTCCCCTCCAGACCACAGCAGATCCTTCCTCCAGAGAGCTCCTGCAGCAGGGTCCCGGCCACCAGCACCGACGTCTGCAGTGTTTTCTGAGTGTCCCCCTGGTTTGCTGTCCGATTGCTCTTTCCGCGGGACCTGGGGAAAATGCCCGAGTCCTGCTGCCCTGCCCCACCCTTCCTGGACTCCTATTTGACCTAGAAAAGCCCAAGGTGGGCACGGTCAAAAGACTCCCTGCTTGCAGAGGGCTCAGGGCTGGGCTGGCCTAGAACCTTCCGAGGCACCAGAGAGCAGGAGGCTGCCAGGCCCAGAGCAGCCGTGGCATCCTCGCAACCCAGCAAGACAGGAGCAACTTAGACTGTCAGCACCATGTGACTCGAGGTGGCGTTGCAGGAGGCCGTGGGCTGCGTAAAAGCAACTGGACTCGGGACCCTCAGATAGAAGCCCCCGCCATTAGTGGGGCTGGCAGAAATCGCCCCAAACACTCCCAGCTTCCAGACCCAGGCCCATTGGAGGCCTGATTAAATGAAGGCCCTTGATGGGGGAGGTTTCCTAGACTCCCAGGTGTGCCCACTCTAGTTCCAAACGTGCTCAAGCACAGGAAAGGGGGACAGAAGTGTCTCACTCAAGAATGCAGCTTGGTGAGAAGGACGGACAAGCTTTCTCAGGATCTGAAGATGCAGGGAGGAACCAAGGAGCACAGACAGCCCAGAAGCAAGAAGAGGCACAGAGACACTGTCCCTGGAGCCTCCAGGACAGAAGGGCACAGTCCTGCCAGCTGGGCCCAACAGGCTTCTGATCTCCAAAAGGGTAAGAAATAAATCAGCGTTGTTTTCATGCACCCAGTTGGTGGTGATTTGTTACAGCAGCAGCTGGAAACTAATACACCCTGTCTCCTGCCCAGGACACCAAAAAGAAAGATCTCGAATTCTCTTGGAAATATGCAAAACCAGTACTGCAAAAAATATGTCCTTTTATGCATCATATCCTGTTCTTCTACACAGCATATCTGTAATATTAAAAACATAAAACTGTAAGTCTGAACATATCATCCTTAATGAAGACAAATAATGAAAGTGTGTTCACAGATTCAAAAGCTGTTGAAACAAACAGAAACCCACCCTTTCATGTAAGGATTTGCTGACTTTGTTCACTTTTTAAACCCGGTTTTATTGACATATTCTGCAGTTTCCATTTTGGTTTATTTCTGTTCTGGTGCCTGTTATTCCCCTCTGCTAGCTTGTGCTCCGTTGGTTCTTTCTCTAAGTCCTTGGATTCGGTGACTCAGGTGTCTTCTCTGAGATATTCCCTCTTGTTAAGGTGGGTGCGGACTTCCATGAACTCGCCTTTGGGATCGCTTTGCCCACCCACTTAGGACAGCCGTCTCACTGTTCCAGGTACCTTGAAGCCCTCGGCTTCCTCTGGACTGGTGGTTCAGGGTGTGGTCCACTCCCTGGGTGTTGTGGACTCTCCCGTGTCCCCCTCTTACCAGCCTCCTGACTCCTTCCATCGCAAAGACGTTTAGGATTTTTGTGAACGTGTTAAGGTTGTCCTGTGAGCTGAAGAGCTCAGCTTGGAGAATGTTCTGGGAAGCATGTGTGCCCTCTACTTGGGGTGGACACTCTGCGTGTCCATTGGGGCCACAGCCCTCGTGTTTTACTGTCCAGAGGCTCCCCATGCTGCTGGGGTGGGTGACGCCCGCCTCTCCCCATCCGTCACCATCTGCGTTCTGTCCTCCCATGTCGATGCCTGCGTGTCTGCGACTGGCATGCCGTCCTCCTGATGGCACTGCTGAAGGACAGTCTGACATGGGCGGGGCCGGGCCGGCTCCCACTGTGTCCCTCTGCTTGCGTACCGTCCGTTTCCTCCGGCTCAGACACGCATGCCCTTGCTCACAGTGACTTCCAGGTGGACAGCGGCCCTCTGAGCCTGCTTTTCCTATTTGATGGCTCTGCGTCTTTTTATTGGGGAGTCTTGTCCCTCAAAGACAGTATGGGCAAAGGGGAGTGGAGCAGGCACATCGCATTGATTGCTTTCTCTTTGTCCCCGAGATTTCTGGTCCTCTTTTCTCTCTGGTCTGCTTTTGTGCTCCGTGGCTTCTGTATGAATAGCTCTTCATCATTTCTCTCTCTTTCAATACTTGGGTGATATTCAGCACGTCCACTGGTTAGATGGCGTCTTCTTGGCAATGCAGGAGACTGTCCCCATCTGGGGAGTCTGAACTGTAAGCAGCATGTGCAGCCTGCCATGTCCCAGGGCCTGGACACTGAGGGGTGGTCACCTGCCACCACAAACACCAAACAAGTGGAGCGACACGCCGTGGACCAAGAGTAGGAACAAGGGCTGTGCTGAGTTAGGGTTCTGAGTCAGCTCACTGTGCTTCTAAAGGGTCCTGACCCACGAACCTGCAGGGGTCTCTAGCAATCTGGGGCCAAGGAACCGTACCAGACCAAATGGAGGAACTGCTCCCAAGACTGACTTTGGAGCCACATGGAGGTGCTGGTGGAGAGACCCCCAGATCAATAGAACCCAGGGGAAGTCCAGAAATGGACCCAGAGAACAGTGGCCGGTGGGCTGTTGACAAAGGTGCCCAAGACAATTTGATGGGAAAAGGTGATATTTCAGTAAACAGCACTGCAAAGAATGTGTGTCCACAAAGAGACCCAGAGCTCTCAGTTACCCCTGTACCACGGCTGAGTTCAAGGGGACGGTAGTGCGACATGAGAATCATAAAAATGCCCAGCTTTTAGGAAAAGCACGAGAACCACACAGAGTGGTCCCGTGTTAAGCAGAAATTTCTTAATCAGATGTTAGAAACTTGAACTGCAGAATCTTTGAAAAGGGCCTTGATTAAAATCAAAATATTTGCTCTTCAAAGCATGTATGAGAATAAAAAAAGGAGAACCACAGAGTGGGGGAAACAGCTGAAGAGCATTCAGAGCAGAAGCGCTGAGGAAGGTGCACGGAGCTGTCACTCAGCAACGAGGACAGGAAGAGCTCCAAGAAACGGGCGGAGCCTGAGCAGGTGCTGGGCGGGTGAGAGGGTGCTCCGCCCACCGGCCTCCAGAGGGTGCAAGCTGGAGCCCAGCAGAGGCCGCTTCACACGGTCAGGACCTGGAAGACTCAGAGCCCAGAGCTGGGAAGAGAGGGGACGGTCACGTGGTCCTCCTCGGTGGTGGGAGGTGAAGGGACAGCCGACATTGCGAAGTTGTCAGTAGCTTCTCTGAAGCTCAGGGGAACTGGCCTCATGACTAGCTATTCCACGACCAGGCGTCACCTAGGGTCAGGGAGACACCCACTCACACGCCTGTGGGCGAGTGTACACACCATGCCATCCACAGGTCCTGTCGGCTGATCTGAATTAGGAACAGTCAGCAGCAAAGCCAAATAAGTAACAGGCCTCGAGGACGCTGTGTGACGTGGGCGGCCAGGCCAGGGGGAGGGACCACTCTAGACCAACATGGGTGATACGACTGACATAGAGTTGTAGCAAGGGGAAGCCGAGGGGTTGGACGGGGGTCAAGGTGGACGTGCCTGGCCGAGAGCTGAGGGGCTGGGCCTGGGGGCTGGGGGTCGTTGGAGAAGCTGCACATCTTGACTGTGGCCGAGAGACACACCCCCTACATTAGAGTCTCGGAGTGGGGCTGTGTTCTTGTACACGGTCATACTTCAGCAAGGCAGAACTAGAATCAGCAGCAGAAGAAAAACACTGTGAAACAGGCTTGACGAATCCAGAGACAGGGAGGAGGGAAGAGAACAGACCGGGTACCTGAGCTCAGAAAGAGGGACGGTGCACAGCACAGAGCACATCAGTGCGGCTCTAGACACCCATGAACAAAGCGCTCACCGAGAAGTGAGGCAGATGGACGGAAAAAGAGACTCAGTGACGTGCAGTTTACAGGAGCTGCAGCTTAAACGAGAGGCAGACACGAGTTAAAGTAAAACCAAGAGCCACACAACAGAAAAACCACTTCCTGGACTTGCTATCAAGGAAGACTCTAAGACAAGAAGTTCCACACGGAAGTAGACATTTAAAAAATGATTATTTTATTAAAAAACAAAATCGTGCTCAGTGTGTGCACGAGACACAGGAACAAGCCAAACATTCAGAGCTCATCTTTTAAAGGCTTGAAGCAAGGCATCAGCAAAATTAAAAGAAAAAACAATCCACAGCAGCAGGGGGGGACTTCAAGAGATCATAGACGTGAACATTAATGAAGTCGGGGGGCGGGGGCGGCGCTTGCACTCCCCACCCCTCCAAGCTGATTGGCAGTTACAGGCACCACCGTCAAATAGCAGAACGCAGAGGGCCACATCCAAACTCACCGCCAGCTGCACCTGAAACAATCTCGACAAATTTCCCAGGACTGAAGGGTGCCATTTGTCATCTGTAGCCTCCAGGGAGTTACAGCCCACAGCAACGACAAAGCTGTTACATAAACACCCATGTGTTCGGAAGTTAACGACTAACTTCTCGGCCACTTAGGGGTCAAAATTTGGGGGATGCAGCTAACATGGGGCTCAGAAGCAAATGTATTGATTCCATTTTCAGATTTAAAAATTAGAAATTCATGAATTCAGTTACATATCCTTCTACTGTAAGGAGTCAGGAGATAGAGCAAATTAAACCCGAGGAAGTAGAAGTAAGAAAACAATAAAAGTGTCAGGAGAAATTGATGAAATAGGAAACAGACAACAGAAGAAATGAATGAAGGCAGAAAACGGTTATTTAAAAAGATCACTGTGGTTGATGGGCCCCTGGATAAATTGATGAAGAAAGAGGCTGGAAAACACACGTTATCCACCAATAACGCACAAATAAAATCAGAAAGCATTTTATGCTGTGAAGTTACAACTTGGCTAAGGTGGAGATGCTGGAAACCGCGATGCACAGAGCTAGCAGAAGAAACGGAAAATCTGGGGCAAAATCCCAACAGCGTTTTTCCGAGAAAGTTATTCTTTATTAGGGAATTCTATCACTTTTAAGGAAGACATACCTTTTAGACAGAAAACTTCCAAACAAATAAGGCAGAGGCTATGCAGTCCTGACCCCCAGACCCGACAAAGGCTGGACCGTGAAATCGCAGGGACAGATATTCTCAACAAGCGCAGATGAGAAAGTCCCCAGAAGTCTCTAGGAGGTCCCATGACACATTCCCGAGAATAAAGTATCACGCCCAACAGGTCAGAAGTCAATCAAAGCACCACGACTTTTAGAAGAAAAATAAGCACATTCAGCAACTCCACAGGACATAGCTAGAAGCAGATTCACTGTACATCTATGTATATTAAGAATAAGAATTAATAAAAGAAAATTCAGAAACTACTCAGATTTAAATTCGCATTAAAAATGACATACTTAGGAGCAGATTTAAGAAGACGTGAACACGTCTGTCGTGCAGCTTGGATCTGTAATGGTCCTAAAGAATCATGTGCTGACCACGTGGTCCCCAGGGCCGAGGTGCTACAGGGGGTGGGGTCTTCAAGAGCTGGGGTAGGGTGGGAGGCTCAGATTATTGGGGCAAGTTATGGTTTAGATGTGAGGTGTCCCCCAAAGCTCATGTGTGAGACGATGTAAGAATATTCAATTGAAATGGTTAGACCATGACAGGTGTGACCTCTCAGGGCTATGCACTGGTATGAGTTGACACTGACAGGTGGGGTGTGGTGGGGAGCTGGGTCACCGGGGTGTGCCTTTGGGGCTTAGATTTTGGCCCTGGTGAGCAGAGTTCTCTCCGCTTCCTGGTGCCATGCCCAGAGCCGGGGAGCGGGCCCTCCATGGTGGAGACCTCTGACATCGAGTCGCAAGAAGTTTTCCTCTTTAAGTTCTTCTTGTTGAGTCTTCTGGTCGCAGCCACACAAAGTTGACGGAAACCCACTAACACCGTCTGTGTGAAAAACTGGAACCTTAATAGCACTGACAGAAAAGGAAAACCCGAGGGGAAACGTGTCACGTTGCCGGTGGGAAGCACGGTGTTCATAAGATCTCAGTCCCCGACTGTATCTATAGGTCAAGCTCAATCCCAACCAAGTTCCAAGCAGAAATGTCCCAGGAGCTGACTCTAAACTGGAAACATGAAGGAAAAGACTCTGAGTGGCGCAAACAAACCGGTGACCACGTCGTGGATACGTGCCACTCTGCAGAGCCCGACTGACACAGGCCTCCTCGGGATTCTCAACG